GGGGGGTGTTTTTTTTTTTTTTTTTTATCTGGTTTGAGTGTTCGGGCACGTAGGCACACGTGTCCGAGGCCCAACGCGCGAATTCTATTCTTCGGAATTCGACGCGACGCCCTCGTTTTTGTGTTCAATGTGATTCAACGGGGGCCCTAGGGCCCGTTAAACGGATGTTCGGCCGTTTAACTCCGCCCGTTCTCCGTTAAAAGGATACACAGTCAGTCTAGCCTTGACTGTAGCATGCTTGTCGTGGTACTGCGTGAGGAGAAGGTCCTCAAGGGTGCGTACAGGGGTTACCTTCAGCCACTCAGTCTGGTCAATTCTTTCATAACCTGCAGCATCAGCTTGGTACGGCGGGCTCGGTATTAGTCCCCATGATCATACTCCGGTCCTCTTGCGGTGTCCGCATAACCTCGAAGTATGACCACATGACACTAATCCAAGAGGTAATGTCTGCTTTCCCATCGTACTTGGACGACAGAGTGGCCGCCCGCTTGTCCACTACGGGGCCGCTGTACTGAACGCCAGTAAGGACCATGGCGTTTTGGGCTGATGTCCCCGCATTTGGGACTATGACTAGTGCAGAACTGCCGGCGCCTGCGTTAGCCACAGTTCCACCTGCTCTTGCCATGAGGACTGTGTTAGATGTAGATACTGGGACTGCAACAGATCGAGGGTTAGGAGGGCGGGGGGCAGACAGTTGAGACTGTTTGAGGCTGATTATCATCTTAGCCTGCAACTCTTGGTTCCGCTGCTCTAGTGTTGTTATATGGGACTCAAGGTCTTCCAAGTTCCTCAACTGAACCAAGGCTGCAACGGCAACAACTAGCCTTTCCTAGAACCGGTCAGCATTGGCTTCCGGGACATGAAGGAGGGTCACCTGAGCAGCTATACTCGTGACTCAAGCTGCTGCCTCTGCCTCCCCTTCCCTCAGTACCGCATCATCATAAAGTTTATGGAAGAACGGTTTCTCGTTCTCCTCTGCTGCGTCCAGCATGGCCTGGCATTGGGCAGAGGTGATGTCTGCCATGCCGGAGGAAGGAGTGTTAGTAGATCTCTCAAGAGGGGTGCGCTCTCTCCTGACGTTTGGACGAACGCTTCTCTTGCCCTCCCTCACACTCTCAAAAAGAACACCTTCTCTCTCCCTTTCTACTCTTCTCGTTGTCTGCGCACGCGTCTCGATACCGGACATAGATAGTTCAGATGAAAGAAACAATCAGAAAGTTCACACAGAGAAGAAGGTAGAACTCCTAGCCGGAGCGGCGATTCATTTGGACTTAGAGAATGGCACGCAGCAGAATAAAAGAATAAAAAAAATAATAATAATAAATAAAACAGAAGAGAGGACTGATTTATAGAATGGGCCCGATCAGATTAGTTGGAGATCCCCTCTTGTCTACCCTGACAAGGGACATGAATCACAATAAATCAGCCGAAGAAAGCTAACTGCAACAATGGAGTTCAGCGCAGCAAAGAGATGCATAGGCGGCAACAGATTTGGGCCCGAAAGGTCCTGTCCCGTTGGGCCTGGTCCCACTGGGTCCCGAGGGGTCCCAAGTAGGTCGTGGACCGGGACCAACGTGATAGGGGTACCAAGTCGGTCCCAAACTGCCTCTACCGTACTGAAAAGGAAAAGACAACTTTTAGCAAGAACTTACCCCTACAGCCGTTCTGAAATGAAAAGACAATGCTCCGTAGAAAGATATGTCATTTAGATCAGATACATCATCCATCCATCCATCAGGTGAGAAAGCAATCCACACGCTCACACACACAACCAAGACCGCAGAGAAGAGGAAGAGAGCCCAGCACACCCCCAACAGGCCATGAAGTACCAAGCAACCTCCCACGGGCATATGCAGGTCACACGACATTTACCTGTGAGGCCCGGCCTCCAAAGATGGATAACGAGTCACCCCCCTCTCTCATAAGTCTTCCTGACCCCTAGCTACCACTACACGAAGTGTCCTAGCATGACTAAGAGGGCCTTCCTACACCCCTGTTGCAAAGCCGGATCCCCCGTCGATGTCTGAAGACCAAAGTAGCAACCTGCAGCAATCCGATGCAGATATGGCATCCTCCGATCAAGTCTCCCTCTTGAGGGGAAGCCCAAAAGTCACTCAATGTCTTCTTGAAGTGCAGATTCCAGGTGCGAGTACCTCGCACTCTCTACTCCCTCTCGCTTACTCCAATCAGCCTCCTTTGTGTCTCGCCACCCCATCCATTCACTCAAGCAACCTGGTCAGGTCAAATGTCGACCCTGACCTAACCAGGTGGGGGCAGTATCCACATACCTCACTGCCCCACTTAACCGTAACTTCCAACCCTAATCCGAGATTAGGTTAGCCCTAACCTAACTCGAAATTAGGGTTAGGTTCTCGCCAGCAAGTAAGTCCGCTCTCATACCAATTGTTACGATCCTGGTCATTTCCCAAGTGCAAATTCACAATTAAAGACAATGCCACCCAATTGCGAAAGAAATGAAAGCACTTCCAAAGAGATGAAGACCAGAGGGGAGAGAAAGAAGAAGAAGAAGAAGAAGAAGAAGAAGAAGAAGAAGAAGAAGAAGATGTACACCAGCAAGACCAATGACAATTCCCCCTTCTCTCGCCACCTTCCTCCTCCTCCTTCACTTCACCAATCTTATTCTTCTCTTAATAATAATAATAACAATGAATGGATGAACCAGAGTCAATGTCCGAAGTTCCCTCTTACTGCTGACTCAACTCAACAACAACAACAACAACAACAACAACAACCAGTCCACCACAGCTATGGCTTCACTCCTTCAACCTCCTCTCTCATGCATAGGTTATGGCGGACTAATGAGGGCCCTGCCCTCCTGTCCAAAGTAGAACACAAAGCAGCTATGGTGCTGCGCTGATGTCCAAACGACAACCCAAGCAGCTATGCCGCTGCTGACTGGTCCGCTATGCCTGACTCTGCCTCGAGCTTCCTTGGTGCCGCACTACCCCAACTGGGGCCTTCCAGATGCAGCGCCCAACAAGGTGATGAAGATGGTGACTACCATAGCCAGGTAAGTGCCCCGCCACTCTCCTACCATGCCCCCTTCTTCCTCCTCCTCAAGCTGGACTGCTCGCCATAGCCAGGCTGAGCTCCAGCGGCCCTTCCCCTCCAAGCAGCGCTGCACCAGACCAGCGCTGCGCTCCAGCAGCATGTCGCCAATCCTTGCACACCGCAAATGAGGAAGAGCTCTTTGCTCTTCCTGGAGATATAGCGGCCTACCGGCCTCCCGGGCGGTGACTTCCTAGGCCGAGCGGCCTCCCAGCAACCGGTACCTCCTCCCTTTCGGAGGGAAACATCATTGCAGACTCTGCTATGCTCCCTACAGGCCCTAGACCCGGGCTACTTGGACTGGTACAGGCCTACCTCTAACCTACCGCTACTGGGCCTCTAAAAATGCCAACTTTTTGTCTTCTTCTGCTCGGCCTGCAGTACCTGACACTTCTACCACTACTTCAGTGGTACCGGCCTACCTGCTACTTGAGTGTTTTTCCCCTCTGCTCTAAGTGACGCGGGCCTACCCCCGCTACTCGAGTGTTTTCCCCCTGCAACCCTTCACAGTCACGGCCACAGGTTAAGTACCGGCCCTGCTGGGCCTTGCAACCAACAAGTACCCTTGCGGGTCACACACACACTCAACCGACAAGCACTCAGACAGGCATGAAAACCAGCAGGCACGCACACACACACAGACATGGAAATCACAGCAGAATGCGGGAATTTAAACAAGGCATTCATTCCAGCGGCCAATCCCAGAAATCAGCAGTGTTCTCAGTCTGACAGTGTGTTTTCGGCGGGTCATTACAGATAGATAGGTATATATATATATATATATATATATCGTCACAATATATATATATATATATATACACAGAGAGAGAGAGAGAGAGAGAGAGAGAGAGAGAGAGAGAGAGAGAGAGAGAGAGAGAGAGAGGGTCGCGGAGAACTCGCCGCCTCTCTCTCTCTCTCTCTCTCTCTCTCTCTCTCTGGACAGCACAAAAGACAGTAATCATGGCGGTGTACCTTTCCATGTTCTAGCGGAAGATTCACTCTCGTTTTGCACAT